GCTGATCTTTGCTCTGACCCATGAGATTGTGGACGACTATGTCTCGTTTTTCTTGTTTGCAATTAATTCGGCGAGGCGGCTATGGTATCTTGTGCATTCCTTGCTCATACCTTCTGTAGTAGAAAAGACGAGAGGAGTAAAAGTTCCGTGTTCAATTTCGTTGACTCGTTCGGCATATTTTCGTTTCTTTTCGTCTTCGTGCATTTTGTAGATTTTGGGGATTTCTACGTGTTTATACGTATCTGCGTTTGGGCAACACATCCTAACATCAAAGAAGGCAGAACGTTGCTTTTCCCAGAATCCTCTGGCATKTATGTCGAGTCTTGCATCTGCTGCTTTATTTGACCCTTTACTTAACTGCTCGTTGAATATGTMTTGGAGGACTGGCTCAGTCTCYACATCATTGCAGACTGAGCTTAAAAGCTCARCCTCCAAATCACGCAGTTCGTTGTGACGTTGTATAATGAACCCGCCAAGTCTGCAAATCAGCAATTGCAATTGCTGCAATTATAAGAGTTTTGTTCTTCTCCACTTCCTTTCTGCACGCCGTTTTTCTTTTTAGCTGTTCTGATAGCTTGGTTAAACCAAGGTACGATTGGACGTTTTGTTACTGATTTCCTGATTACGGGTGCATGTCGATCTAGCGCTGACGATAGGGTGTCGTTGTAGCAGTTCACTAAGTTGCTGAGCTCAAGTGACGTGTTAATGCATAATTCAGAWTTTGATATTTCATCTTGTAGAGTCTCRATGTTGACAGTAGACTTCAATTCCCGGTAAAATATCTGTGACCTTTTATCAAATGTAGGTTTTGTATCGTTTTGAAGCTTTTATTGTACCTTAAACACGTACATTGACTTCTTATRCTAACGACCGACCAAACACACACGCACGGTCATAACAACTCTCACATTGATGACGTCACAGTCACATATATATATTATTTTTAAAATTCATTGGTAGGTTTTTCGGATTGCTTTTAATATCATTGCATTTCTTCAAAACGTCTTGAAATCTGGTCTCTTTTCGTCGAATTTGACACTTCATACGGACTGTGAGGATACGCTTGAATGATCACGGACTTTTTGCCACCCTTAAGTTTGATATGAGGACAAAAATGATTATGGACACAACAATTTCTGGGATCGTGCATGGCTATTATATATATATATCATTTTGTAATTATTTTGTATGAAGTTTGAAAGCTGTAATAGACTACTCTCCACGTTGCGCATGCGTTAAGTCGGATCCAATAATCTCTGAAGACGATATTGAGGATCAATTTGCCAATGACATTGTTTTTGAGTGGATAATATATAGAGTTTATTTCATGGAAAGTGCGACGTACGGGATTTTATTCACGAGTTGTTTGCATCATACAACGAACGAGCGAGGAACGAGCGAGCACAAAGCACTTTCCATGCTATAATCTGTTTATTATATATATAACAAGACTTTCATTCGGCATACTTTTTAATAAGCTTGTTCAACTATTTTAAGAAACAAACTCAATGAGCTTATGTCGAAAAAAAATGCACACAGATAATTAAACTTAATAAACTTGATAAAACTTAAGGCTCACAGAAAAAAAAAACAAAATTAATAGTAGTACTTTCCACTAAGCTGCAGGAACGTCCAAGTKTTCGTGAGATTTTATAGTAATAAGTAGAGGAACAAATAAGTTCTTCGTCGAGAAAACTACTTCTCTTGGTCGGTATGTAAGATAACGCGCTGCAATTTCCGTCTTSGTTTGAGCTGATTTTGCTTTCCTACAGGTACATCTCTTGTCTTACTGAAGTCCTGTCTGTCTACATTTCATGGAGATAAGTTTAAATTTTGCAGAAAACGATCAAAACTTGGTATAAAACGGCCTGAACTCAGTGAACACCAACGAGACAAATTTCTACTTGTTTAAGTTATAGTTTTGGCTGATGTTTTCCATGCTTTCATGTTCATTCTGGATGGCAAAAAAATTAATTCTCTTGAAGAAAAACATCTCTTCTTACTTTGCTTTAGTTTGTTTGCCTTCCTTTCTACTAATAAACTCTTCAAATGTGGAATTTTGATCAACAAACACAGTTCACCTTCAGCCATTTTGCCATCAACGCGCGGTATGTGAGGTAAGCCATTTCAGTGTTGTGAACGTCGCTTTCTGATTGGTTGATTACGGTTTTTCTGTGTTGTGATTGGTTATATTTTTACAGTGTGAGAAATGCTATACGCGCTTCTAATTGGACGTATTGCTATTTTTCACATGTGAAAATATAGCCCATACAGATTTTTATTTATGCCATTTACTCTATGAAAGTCTCGTTATATATATAATAAATCCTCCTATCATCAAGTATATTCTCGGAAGGAAGTCCGTGCAGAGGAGGTCAGAGACTTATCGATTATGAAAGAAAACCACTCATTTT